TTATTAATTCTGTTTAAAATTTTTTTTCCTTTTTTTTTTTTTTTTTTTTCTTTGATCGGCGAAAAGAAGACTTTATTGATGAATATATAAAAAGTACATCAATAAAGAGGAGTTTGGAGCTAAAACAAGCTCCAACCTCCTAGTTGGTGAGAAACCAACGAGCACAACAAGCACATGAAACATAAACCAAAAAACCAAAAAATAAGGCACAAACAGATCACTCCCTACAACATCCTTACAAAGCAGAACAACAGCATGTCGAGGTAGAAAAACAGACCAGGCATAGAAGATTATTTAAACTACATCCATCATTCAACCAATCTAAGCACCAAGATTATTTAAACCATCACAGCAGCAAGACTGATCAGACAGATCATAGCACAACAGCAAGCAGCCATGCACCAGAGCAGAACAACACCCAGATATAACAGAAAAACAGCAGAACACAGGTTACCACCCTCAGTGCAAGATACAAAATTTCACATTTTGCAAATTGAAAACCAAATCATCAGCTGAATAACAAAAGGAAAGGGTAGAGGCTCTGAACCACAATGCAATCCGTGTTTTGATAAGATCACACAACTTCTCGAAATCCAACTATGACTCATTAAAAATGATTTCATTCCTCTACTTCTATAAGGACCAAAGCACAGCTAGTGGGATTAGCCTCCAGATTGCCTTCAATCTGTTGTTGCATCTAAACCCAGTCTACCATTGAATAAGACCAACCACTAAACCCGGCTGCATCCATGATACACCTTACCATCCAATAATATGAGACCAAACTCTCCAACTGAACGTGCAGCACAGCAGCACATGAGACACAATTTCCCTTTCATCCCTGCAAAATACGCAGTTAACATCAGAATTGACACTTAGGATTCCAATTCTATGCAAGTACGTGGCAGCTTTGATCCTCCTTTTCCATGCTAGCCAAGCAAAGAATTGCACTTTCGGAGGTGCAGCATTCTTCCAGATGAGATCCACCACTTTTGCAAGCATAGTAGATGGTGACTCCTTCCACTTGTAGGCAGACGAAACAGTAAAGGTGCCAGACCTGTCTGCAGCCCAAGACAACCTATCTAACACACCATTCTTAAGCTCTGGAGCAGTTTGTAGCACCATCTTCATCCTCCTCAACTCTTCAAGTTCCCATTGGAACAATGCTCTTCTGAAAGACAAATTCCACTCCTCATGTCCAATACTCCTGCTCTTAATCACTGCCACTAATATACCTTTATGCAAAGACAAAGAGAATAATCTAGGAAATAAATTCTTTAAACAGTCTCTACTAACCCATTGATCCAGCCAAAAACTTATGAGCCTCCCGTCCCTAACATTAATCTTTGAATTGGCCTTAAATACCTCCAGCAGCTCTGGGCACTTAATAGCAACCCTCAAGATGTCCCTCCACACCATAGAACATCTGGAATTTGCATCTTGATTTGGCCACCTAGACCCACCCTGCTGTGGGTACTTGCTAAGAATCGCTTGTTTCCAAATAGAGTCAGCTTCGCTCCCAAATCTCCACCACCATTTGAGAAGAAGACATTCATTCATGATTCTAACCTTTCTAACACCAAGACCCCGTTACTTTTGCTTTGAGTAATTTCCTCCCACTTTACCATATGAATTTTCCTTCTAAGTTCATCAACCCCCCAAAGAAATCTGGACTGAATTCTATCAATCTCCTTGGCTACCCCTTCAGGCATTCTAAACAAAGATAAGTAATAGATCTTTGTTTTATCCTTTTAATCTCAAAAGAATAAATCTTGACGTTATTGCCTTAAAATTTTTAAGATTCTGTTTGATTATAAATAAAATTTAGTAAAAAGTGAAACAGAAAGAACAGAAATAAAAAATAAAATATATTTTCTTACAAATATTTGATTAAGAGGAAATTTTTTTAAATTTGTAAGAAAAAAAATAGAAAAATAGAAAAATTTAGTTATAAATAACTCACACATTCAATTTTTCTTGTATTTTTTGGAAAAAATTAAAAATCAGTTATAATGTTAATATGGATTGTACAAGAAATTTTAGTTTTTTTAAAAAAATTTAATTAATTTAATTTTTTTTACCACTTTCTAACTAAACAAACTCACAAAAGTTTTTTTTTTTTGGGTAAATTACACTGACCTCCCCTGAGATTTACCTTAATTACAGGGACCTCCCCTATATTTCAAAACTTACACTGACCTCCCTTACTTTTGAAACTAATATACAAAGACCCCCTTAAAGAGCCTTAACGACATTAACTTGATAGTGAAATTGACCATAATACCCTTCAACCCATTGTCTTCTACAAAGACCTAACCCACTCTGTATCATTAGCATCTTCCTCACTCTACTACCCATTTCTGCCATTGTCTTCCTCACACTTTCTTCCTAAACCTCTTTGATCAAAATCCCAAAACCTAAACCAACAATAACCCATCTTATACACACCCAAATCGCTAACTCAGCTTTCGATGGAACTCTTTATCTAGATCTCTATGTCTCCACAATCTACACATTGAATGCTCTCTTATGCTGATCAAACACACACATACATAGAGTGTTAAAGAATTCGAATTGGCAATGCATACATAGATAATTCGATAATTGATTCAAGAGTTTAAGAAATGAATCAGATATGTAAAATGAGAGAAAGAAAAGGATATGAAGAACAAGTATGTTGGAGTGTGGGCCGAAGGACATGACTTGGCCTTCGAGCTCTTCTCTGAGTGTGGTTTTGATTGAGAGAATGCATCCCACTATTATTTCTTCGCCTTCGCCGATAATCGAATCCATGGCTCTTTCTCTGTGTATGTGTGTGTTTACTCAATCACAATTGTTTTGTGCTTGGCAAGAACATGTCCAACCCATGTCAAATCAGGTGCAAAGGTTCAAGACCATAACAAATCGAGATTGAAGTTTTAGTTGAGTCGAGAACTCTGCCGCCCTCTCGTCTCCTTGAGCCTTACATCTTCTCCTCATCGCATCGCCACCATTACACTCAACCACCAGTGCGATTTCTCTATTTCTCTCTCACTCTTTCTGCAACCATCACAATCGCCATGATCGTTATCGCGATCCGCCATCACTATACCCCTCGCGATCAAATCACGACCATCGCGACACCAAGCTCCTCAGATCTAAGGTTTTTGGTGGTGGTGGTGGTGGTGGCGGAGATGGATGAGTTGAGAGAGAGAAAAGTTTGGTATGGAGAGGAGTTCGATGTGGTGGTGGTGGCATTGGGCGGAGGTTTTGGAAAGGGAAGTGTTGGGGCAGTGGAGGACGACGGGAAAAGAGAGGCAGAGCACAGAGAGAGAGTGAAAGGAAAGAAAAAGAAAGTAAGAGGGAAGAACTGGTACAGTGATATATGTATATATATATATATATATATGTATGGGGAGGTAAGGGCAATATTGGAATTTGAAGAATAATTTTGGATGACATCAGCCAAATCTTTTTGAATTTGGACGGGTGGGTAACAGAAGGGGTTATTTGTATATTAGTTTCAGAAGTAAGGAGGGTCTGTGTAAATTTCGAAACAATAGGGGAGGTCCTTATAATTAAGGTAAACCACAGGAGAGGTTAGTGTAATTTACCCCTCTTCCCTTTTTTTTTTTTTTTTTCTTCTTCTCCTCACTTTCTCCCTATTTCATTATAAACAAATTGAGCCTAAAATTAGACTATGATCGAGTATCGAAGTAATCTTTATATTTTTTTTATTATTTGATTTTTAATAAATTAAATAATCAATCAACTAATGAATTATACTCATTTTTCAAACTCAACGATCAAACAACCAATTATTTTATGTATTAGCCTTTTTTCTCACATTTTTTTTAATTATCAATCAAACATCTCACTTACACTTTAAATCTAAAATATGATCTAAAAAGTGGTCTTATATATATTTTTGATGATAAAATGATTAGTAGTTTATTTCACTACTAAACAATATGATAGTATTCACTTTGTTCGGTTGAATTCCCTTTTTGGCAAATTGAATTATTTTTTTTTTTAATATCAGACCACATGGGAGTTCAATTAAAAATTCGATTTAGATTAGTAAAATTGAGATTTTATTAAGGAAGAAATCAACTAAATTTTCTGAAATTAAAACTTAAGGTATGAAATTTATGTTTAATTTGTGTAGAATCTTCACATTATACTTGAAATTAAAGATGAAATTGGAATTAGTCACTCCTGGTTTATTCAATTTGATCAAAAGTTTAAATTCGAATTACCTTCTTGGTTTTTGAGATGGTGGACTCATTATGGCGCCATTTTAGATATCTTTCCTGAAATTCTGCTTGAACAAATTAACTATTTTGCTATTGTTTTCCCATTTACTCCTCATCAAAGGAAATTTCTACTCCTGCTTATTTTCATATCCAAATACAAAATTCCATAGATATTTAAATGGCATTATGGAATTTCTGATGATATAATTATCCGACAGCACTCTGTTAAATGGTGGGATAAGTTCACTCCTCACCACATTGTTGAAATTGTCCAAGCTGAATTCCCAATTAATCAATGTGCTCCTACTCCTGCAATGGTTAAAACCCAGTAGATCCCAACTCTACCTAACCAAAGGACTTACCAAGGATTGGGACGAAAGTGGATGACTAGTAACAACGTGGAAAGACACAGATATAATTTTGACAGATTAAGATGACTGACAACAGATTAGTCAGAAAGAAAATAGAATTGACTCAAAAGTAGCAAAACAATCAATAGTAGATAGCAACATAACGAGGCTCTGATACCAAAAGGGGAAGCAACGCAGAAGAAAGAAGATGTACAAGAAAGAAGATGTACACAGAATTAATAATAATAATCAGATTGAAATAATATGCACACCAAATCACAATTAAGTTATTTTTCTATAAATACTTTTAATTTTAAATACAGACGAAATATATACAATTAAAATATTAAAAAATTCACTAAAAATAAAAAATATGAAAAAATAAAAAAAAATTTAATTTTTAATTTATTATTTCGTCCTTTTTACCATTGTCACTGCTAACACGTATAAGAAACACCCAGAAAATGATCGAATCGAATCACAAAATCAATCTTCCATCGCCATTTCTTCGTAAGCACCTCTCTAAACTTTCTCTTTATCAAAATTTTTATTATCGTGTTTATTTTATGTAATTGTTATTTATATTTTGGTTTTGGATTGCAGTGTTTCGTTCTTGATTTGGGTTTTGATGCTCTGCCCATGGCCGAAGAAACTCGGAGAATTTTGAAACTCAGTGCTTGGGCGAGAGCTGAATTGGGTTTTAAATGATTATTCATTGTTAATCTGTCTGTCTTTGTTCAATGTCTAGGTTAAGTTTTGTTTCTAGAAGTCAAAAAAGATTATAGAAAAATATAAATGTCCAAGTGATGTTGTGTTCTGTTCAGTTATCTGCTCATAATATCAAGTATCAATTCTGGGTTTTTCAATTTTTTTTGTTTTGTGTTCTTCAATTTTTATGTAGCTTTCGGCTTAATGTATTGGGCTTTTTGACCCAGTGGTGGTACAGTTAACAATGATTTAATCTTTCTGTTATTTTTCTTTGTTTGTATGACTTCAATTCCTGGTTTTCTGCTTGAGAGCTAGGTAAACTGCGCATTGCTGCCAATAAAATAGTGCACACAAGACCCATATTGTTAAAATTAATTGTTACCATAATAATAAGATAAATGGGTAGCCCTGGATTGAACAATTGGAATAAGGTGCAACGGTTAGGCATTACAGAACCAATCTCTTGGAGTGGACCCGCGGAATTTGATGTAATCAAGGCCCGCGAGCTTGAAAAGGTTTCCTTTCATTTGTCTATACACCACTCTTCTATTGCTTGCATTAGTTGAGTGGATACTAAATTGACAAGTTGGGTATTCAGTATTTGGCAGTTGTGGGATTGTATGAGAACCAAGAGGAAGCAGTTAGTAGGGAGGCAGTGCTTGGGAGATTAGACCAGGTTGGTTTTCTTTTACACTTTTGGTATTTCCAGTGTATTGCAATTTTTGAGTCATGATATTTGATGTTGTTTTCGGTGTTGCAAAATTGAACAGATTGTGAAGATTTGGGTTAAAAGCTTAAGTCGTTGTTAGAATTTACCATCACCTACCACCACTACCACCTCACCTACTCCACTAAACCTAACCCACTACACCACTACCACCTCACCTACTCCACTAAACCTAACCCACTACACCACTACCACCATCCACTACACCTACATCTATATAAGGAACCATTTGTAATAGACAGTATATGAAACAACATATCAATCAATAATACAATTCTCTATTTCTCTTTATACATTAAATTTCTACATGGTATCAAAGCTATAAGATTTAGGCCTATACTCCTTTCTTTCCGGCAGGCAGCCGGCCGGCAACCTTGCCTTCGCTGCCCGCTGGAGTTTTTTCAACACATACCAGAAACTCTTCCTTCTTTGTTTCCTCATCTTCATCACTCTCAATTTCCTTCTTCGAAGCCTCACAACAATGTTGTATCTTCTGCGATTCATCCCACCACGAGCGTCCAGGAGCTTCTCGAATGCCCTGTTTGTAAACATATAGAAAAGTACCACCAGTTGAAGAATGAGCTTTTGGCTTTGTACTCTTGCGGATCTTGTGCATCAAACTGGTCAGCTCCGAAAGCTTGAACACAAGGCTTGTGCCCTCCTTGTGCAAATGCCACTAGATATAAGGAGAAGAAGAAGAAGATGACTTGCAGCTGAGGAGGAGAACACATACTGACACTGGTGGCACTTTGGCAGTCAGTGCTAAAGGTACACTATATTCTTCTTTTGGAGGAAATTCACTCCAGCAGCCTTGAGTTCATTATATGTACCATAATACTGGGGATACCTTTCCTTGGGTCCCCCAATGCTTCTTGCCATGTATCTATAGTGTGTATAGTATTGAGAGCAATCAGACCCATCCACACAACACACAGTAGTTCATACACAGTCAAGTCGCTTGTGATCATCTTTAAATGCAAGAGATATTGCAGCCGAAGGCTTAGATTTGTGGCCAGATTTTGATGTGCAACAACAGCAGCTCCTAAATGAATTATCCCGTCTCTCTCAGCCGGGCTTAGATTTGTTGGTCTCGTGTAGCTATGACAACACCATCAAGGATTGAGCAGAAAATAAATAAAGTGGAAGGAGATAAGAACACCATGATTTCTTTGAGGGTCTGGGTTTGGTGGTTGCCAGTCAGTTTGCATATCAAAAACAAACAAAAAAAAAGAAGATGAATGAGTCTTTTTATATGCAAAAGAATTTTTTGATCGATGGTGTGGTCTACTAAAAGAAAAGAGGAGGTGCTGGAGTGGGGTCAAAAGGTGTAGAGAATGATTTATTTAAGAGAGAGAGAAGTTGGGTGGGTTTCTCTTCTCTAAACCATGCTCCACAGGCTGTTAAAGCTCCAAACACCAAACACCCACCTTTATTTTAATATTTCCACCCATTTATTTTTAAACTTTTCTTCCACCAACCCACCAACCCACTGATTTTATATTTTATTTTATCACCCATCTGTTCTTTTCATTTTTTCTTCCCACCACTTTCAATCAACTTGTCTTGCATAGGCGGGAAGATTGATAAAAATAAAAAAATAAAAAATAAAAAAAATATTCCAATACAACACGGCACATCACTGGCAATACACATCTGCTACATCAGTGCGAGTGTGGCTTCAAAATTTCAAAATCAAAATTTTCAAATTTCAAGATTTCAAGATTGCTTTTTCTGCTCCAACACCCTTGAACCACACCTCCCATTCGAGTTTGCACAACAACCCATATTTTATTCATCTCAGGGATCAACCCCGGTCACAATTTTACACCAAAAAAAAAAAAAAAAAAAACA